TCCTCACATCATTAGCACGTATTCACAAATAAATGCTAAGACGTAATTTCCCTCAAACATCTGAAAAAGGCCTTTAGTCACATTGCGAGAAGTTGCAGTTCTGTAAGATAAACTAAATACATTTTTTAAAATATTCTGCCTAGTAGGCTCAAACTTTATTTTATTTAAAACTTTTATTCGTCAGTTTTTTATTTATTTTTTTGAGGGTGGGGGTAAATAGCCCTTCGTTTAACTCTTACTGCGAAATAAATTGATGAATGCCTGTACGTTGTTTATGATAGCAATTAGCTGGCGTGTTTTATCACGAAGTCTGTTGTGGTGTTTCCCCTTCCAACAATTCAGCTCCTTTGCAGATTGGTTATTTATTTAATTACAATACATAATCCCACATATGATAAAGTTTTTTTTCTTATATTTTTATCATTTTAGAGCCACTCGGTTTCAAATAACAGAATGAAAAGTAATACTTTTTATTAGAAGTTAACTTTCAAACAAAAATATAAGGACATCCACAGCTTTTAGTTTTGTTTTTTAAACCTTTCACATTTACTGTGATGTTTTACCACCTAAACTGGGTTTTTTTTTGTGTAACTATTTTCTATAATCTGTAGCGATAACATGGGTCTGATGGGACACATTTGATATGTGAAAAAAATGAACATATGCACAATAATAACAGCTCTGTGTAATTCTCTTTTTAGAGATAAAATTACTTGTTTCAATGTATTTTAAGGGATTTTTATAAATCAGGACAAACAGTTTTTGCCTGGAGGAGGTGCGTTCTTACATGGAACTGATCCGCTCTTTTCTTCACCTCTGCCGATAATTTAGTTTTCCTTTATCTCTGTCCTCCCGATTCAACCCCACCTCCACCACACACACACACACACACACACACACACACACACACACACACACACACACTCCTCCCCTCCCTCTCCACACGCCCCTCCCTTGTGAAGCTGTCACCTTTCTGCACCCGCTCAGTCCCTATTAAGGCCGACAGCCCATCTGCCGCCTGCCCCGCTAACAGCTCCCGTCGCTAACGCTAACATGCACACACACACACATCCAGTCGAACACACACAGGGCTGCATCAAACCCCACCTGCCCTGATGCATGTGTAGTCACGCGCAGGCCAACATAGTCACACACACTCATATCTGAATATCCTCGTCCACCCAGGATTTGTGAGAATTTATTAGTCATTTTAATGGGAGACACGTTTTTTTTTTTATCGAGGAGACAAAAAAAACAGGAATAGAAACAAGGACATATGTTTGTTACTTCTTTTATGCAGGAGAAGATGTTTGTGTTCAAGATCTTTTATCATAATAATGCCAATCAGTTTGTCTCATAAGTTCTACGTTTAGTTTTAGTGTTCAGGTTTTTTTTAATCAGCTGTTCAAACATGTTTAGAGCTTCGTTTATGTAAGTTTAGAGTTGCATACTTTACATGTGATTGTAAGACATCGCCCTGCCCTGACTACAGGGGTAATTAGGCAGGGCATTTTGCAGCTTTATGTGTGTGTGTGTTGTTGCATTTGCTCCCGTCGGGGATAGGTGGGTTTTGCATTAGCAAGAATGACAACTGTCTCATCAATCACCACATCACCATGTTTAACATACACACACACACACACAAGGATACACACAAACTGTGTTGTGGTCATTCAGTTCACAGATGGACCAGCAACACATGAGTGAGTCACTGAGCATCAGAAAGACACCCTCGATCGCCCTGCCTCCCTACTTTTGCTCTCTCTCTCTCTCTCTTTTTCACTTACACACACACACACACACACACACATACACACACACACATACACACACACACACACACAAAGGGAATGCGCTAATGCTGCATATGCGTTCTGACAAGAGCGTGAAATAGGTTAGGTAGAATCACATTGATTCATTCTGTCTTTTCTTCTCCATTTTTATTTCACACGCATTCTTAAATATTCACACGGAATATGTTTTTTTTAATGCATGCATGCTTTAATTAATTTAATTCATTTACTCAAATAGTCGTCATACAAATAGACTTGGAAAAAAATAGTTAATTTTTCTCCTTTTTCTTCTACGCATACTGCGGGAAAAAGAAATGGGAAGGATTTTCAGCTGATGCTGAGATGATTTTTAAGCAAATTTTTACCTTGTAGACTGAACCGAAACCGGAGGAATAGCCAAGGACTTGGTTATAACTTGTGACACATTGAAACAGACTATCTCTCCGTAATCCCCGGTAGTTTTAGGTTAATGCGAGTGATGGACAAAACCTTTTTGCAATGTAGCCAAAATATTGTACCAGAGATTTATCGCTCAAATTTGTAAACAATTTTTTTTTTTGCTTTTTAAGCACGTCAAAATTCGCAGATCTTCTGATGGACATATTATTGTCTTTAATCTCTTTAATCCTCTTTATTTATTTCTTCACTGACCTATTAAATAATAAAGGATTTTAAAAAGTATTAATTTTACGAGGAAATAGGAAACGGGGATTCAAACGCGTACCGTTGGAACTGGATGTACCTGAATCTGGTGTGATACCAGGACACTCCCCAATAAAAAAAAAACCAACAGTATTAAGTGTTGCCTGTCTATATAGCATTGTGATTCTGCAACCAAAGCCAATAAGTGTCTGAAGCAGCAGTGGCAGCAGAAAGATATTGATTCCACTTATTCACCAGAGTGGAACTAAAACCTACATATTACACACTCTGACCCTCTACCTCTCGCTGCATCAGCCCTGCTCAGTGTGCGGACCGAGGTAAGGCTGTCAGATAAGTCACTGCTCGGTCCACTTTTCTGTCTACGTCTAAATAAGGCTCCACAGTGGAACAATGTCTCACTACCAGACGCACACTTACTGTATGACTACTTGCCGGTTGTTTGGTTGGTAAACAGGTGTCTACGTCACATTCACCATCGAGCTCTGGTGATCTCATGGTGTTTGTTGGTCACACACCAGAGTACATATGAAAGGTCATTTTCATTTAATTTAGTGAAAACTTATTGTCCAGTTTTTATCACTACATATCAATTGAACATGGGTTTTTAAGGTTAATATTTCAACATATTGGCAAAGCACCAGGAGCTCTTGTTTTATAAATATCTATTTTTTTTGCATTTGCGTAGCTGTTTGATTTTTTTTGTCTCTAAATTACCTAACACCGTCAGACACGGCCTGTATTCTCTTTTCTCTCTCGATATTTGTTAGAAAGTCTTGTTTTTTTATTTCAGCCATTCTATGCAACACAAGTATTTTTTTTTTATTTTCTACAACGAGGTGATTTTAATTCAGTCGCCCACGTTGACCTTATCACCCCTGCGACGTCTCCTTCCCTGACGTCAGTGCCGGCTTTGATTGATGGATGGGCAGTCCCACCACATGTACATTTCCATTTTTATTTTCTCATTCGGGAAACATTTTTTCCAAGGCTGAAACTAATGAAACTCCTCTGAAGCTGCATGCAGCTTTTCTGAGCTTTCCGTGCACAGATAGATGTTTTTCATGTCAAATCAAAGCTGATTTGATTTGAAGCATTTGATTGAAATGTGTTCAATGTGTTTAACACAAAAGGCCAAAACCCTCTGCTGGTTAACAATTACCTTTTTTCTACTGTGCAGTTCTCTGAGGGCTGTCTTTGCATCTGCCTGTTGGTTGTGTGCTCAGCATGTCGACTTTTGTGTCAGTCGTTGTTTGGCGGGCAAAGGTTTTTTTTCCCCTGTGTTCCTGTCTCTCTGTATGAATCTGCTATAAATTCACACACTGAGAGCAATCAAATAAGCAAAATGAGCATGTGAAGAGGTGATTGTCTGCATGTTGTGTCCATTAAATACATTTTACCCACATTATCAGTCATTCCTTGCTACATTTATATAAAAACATGTCCTGTTAGTGGCTGTTCTGTAAAAAGTGGGGAGAAAAATGAACTTTTTGGTAAAGACTGCTGTTTTTGTTCCGTGATGTTTTCATTTCATGTCACCAGAGAAGTAAAAAACCCAATTTTGTTTCAGTTTAAAGTATTTGCATTATTTTATATGCAGGCATTCCAAAAGAACTGAAGGAAAACTGTTGTTTTTTTTTTCTCCTCTCGACTGGCTACATTTTCACTGCTGTCCTTTCTTACACCCCCCCTCTCAAATTCCCCCGGCCTCTAGAATGAACTTATCGAAGGGGCCACTGGTGAACAGCAGCAGCGAAGATAACTCCAAGTCGACATATGTTAAATGCGGCGCTGGCGCCTGGAGGATGCACCAGAGCTACGATTCACTAGAAGCCAACCACATGAGAGACCCACATGCCCTCTACAACCCCAGGTAAGCCAGACTTACAAAGAGATGCAAAGAAGGGATTTGTTCGGAATCAGTTTTATTTTAAAAGTAAAGACTAGCAGAAGTCATTGTAAAATTTTCAACTTTGACTAAAACAGTTAAAAAAATGAATCCAATTACTTGTCGGAAGCACATATTTTTACGTCCTCTGTCATCACCGCTGCGTTGCGAGCGTGTTGTAAACGTAGTAAGACAAACTTCAACAGATGATCATTTTTAACCTAACCTTCTCGAGCTGAACCAGGTCTCACGTTGTTTTTGTTTTGGGTCATTTTCATCAAGCGTTTTCCTGGTCTATATTTAGTAAAGTTGCCGGAAATGAACTGCCTGTTTTATGTTGAAACACGGGGAGCGCATTACGCATGATGTACAAACACACACTGTTTTTGTTCAGGCCGTTCCTCAGGTTCCGTCGCTTTGATCCGCTCTCTTTTAAAAACTAAACATTTCTTTGGATTAGCAAAGGGGGACACATGTCCAGGTTACAAAACGTATTGTAGTAAGTAAATAAATTTTTATATATTTTAATAGAAATATGATTTTGCACTTTATGTATGTGACCCATCACATCGAAACGAGGATTAAGTCCAAAAGTGGTAAATGGAGAAATAGGCAAATATAGTGTTTTGACTTAAATGTTAACAAAAATTGTATTTTGT